GGGACCTCACCTTTGGTGCGCAAGGGGAAGACCGTGGTGTAACGCGAGTAGTCGTCGACAACCAGCAGAAAGTACCGCTCGCGGCCCTGTCCAGTGACGCGGGCTGGGCCCCACACGTCCATGTGCAGGGTCTGCAGGGGAGCAGTCGTCGGGGGAAACGAGGAGGAGTGAGGAGCGGCGCGCTGCCGCCCCTCGACATAGGGAAGACACGGAGGAGCAGACGAGGGTGGGAGGGGAGGGAGAACCCTGGGAAGACCAGAGACAAGGACCCGGCGGTGCATGCTACGAAGGCGCTGCACCGAGGGGTGACCAAGGCGGTGGTGCCGAAGGAGGGTCTGGTGCGACAAAGCGCGACACGAGCAAGGGGCCGCTAGCTGACCTGACGCAGACGCAGCTACCTGAGGGGACACAGTAGTCAGTGTGTACAGACTCAAGCCAGGCGCACGGGTAAACGTGGCCAGGTGCTGGCCCGTCCAGGAGCACGTACAGTGGGTCACACGCTGACCTCCGGGAGTGAACTGGTCAACCCACTGGTCCTGGAGGTCAGCACCACTCACCAAGTTCGTAGAGAACGAGGGGAGGTGAAGACCTGACAGGGAGCCAGGCGGGACCGCCGGACACGGCAGGACCGTGGAGGAGTGCGCAAGGACTGGACCCCCAGAGGGGTCTGCCAGGGAGACAGCAACTGGTCGACTAAGCGGCGTGAGGGTGGTGCTGTCGCGAAAGAAGGAGCGGGAAGCACCTGAGTCAAGAGTGAAGGTGTACAAGGCCTCAGCAGGCGCAGTACCAGAGAGAGCAGACTCACCAGCACCTGGAGCAGCAGCCTCACCAGCACCTAGAGCAGGAGACACACTAGCACCTAGAGCAACGACCTCACCAGCACCTAGAGCAGGAGACACACTAGCACCTAGAGCAGCAGCCTCACTAGCACCTAGAGCAGCAGGCTCTATACCTGGGTCAGGCGGGACGCACAGGTAACAGGCACCATCAGCACTAGTAGGCAACGCATACGTGGCAGTGAGAATAGCATCATAGTCAAGAGCAAAGATATCTACCCTCTGCCTAAGCAGCTCCAGCCAGGCGGGGAGCTCAGCCTCGACGCCAAACTCGGTACGCCAGGCGTCGCTCAGACGTGCGAAGCAGCAGGACTGTGTGTTACCAAGCGTCCCGCAAGTCTGACCAGTCCGATCACCTGTGCGAATGACGTACGGGCAGCGAACGGTACTCCGAGACCCTCTACTCTGAGCGTACCACTCATGAAGCTGCTGGGGCGTAAGTGTCTCGCGCGGACGCCGCTGCAGCTGCAGCTGGCCACTGCCAAACGCTCCCGACTGACCAGCTCCAGGGCGACAGCCACGACGGCGACCGCCACAACCCCAACTAGCGTACCACTCACTAAGCTGCTGGGGCGTGAGAGACTCGCACGGACGTCGCTGGAGCTGCATCTGGCCACCGCCAGTAGCAGCAGTAGCAGCAGTAGCAGCAGCAGCAGCCTAGCAGCGGTAACAGGAGTAGCAGCAGTAGCAGCACGGGCAGGGCAGGCACGGCTGGCAGGCAGGCAGACAGGCAGGCAGGCAGGCAGGCAGATGGCGCGGCAGCGCGCTAACAAGGCAGGCGCGCGGGAAGCGCGGGTAGGGCAAGTGGTTTCCAGTGGCGGGAAGTGCAGGCGCTCGCCAAGCGAGCAGGGCCGGCGCTCGGCTGGCAGCGGCAGGGTAGGCGCAACGACAGGTGCTGCAGGGCGGGGCCGTGTCAGCGGCAGGGCAGGGCCGCATCGGCGGCGTGGCGGGGCCGCGTCGGCTGCTGCAGGGCGGGGCCGCGACAGCGGCAGGGCGGGGCCACGACAGCGACGGGGCGGGCAGGCAGGGGCGGCGCGCGAGCTCTGGGGCGGCGCACGGCAAGGGCAGGGGCCGCGTGCATGCTCTGGGGCGGCGCGACGGGAAGGCAGGAGCGGCGCGACGGCTCTGGGGCGGCGCGCGGCTAGGGCAGGGGCCGTGCACGGGCTCTAGGGCGGCGCGACGGGCAGGTAGGAGGGGCGCGCAGGCTCTTGGGCGGCGCACGGCAAGGGCAGGGGCCGCGCGCAGGCTCTGGGGCGACGCGACGGGAAGGCAGGAGCGGCGCGACGGCTCTGGGGCGGCGCGTGGCTAGGGCAGGGGCCGTGCACGGGCTCTAGGGCGGCGCGACGGTAGGTAGGAGGGGCGCGCGGGCTCTGGGGCGGCGTACGGCAAGGGTAGGGGCCGCGCGCAGGCTCTGGGGCGGCGCGACGGGAAGGCAAGAGCGGCGCGCGGGCTCTGGGGCGGCACGCGGCTAGGGCAGGGGCGGTGCGCGGGCTCTGGGGCGGCGCACGGCAAGGGAAGGCAGGGCAGGGCGCACGCGGGCGGCGCGACGCAGAACAGGGCGTGGGGCAGCACGCTAACCGCAGACGGTCACTAGCGAAGGGTGGGCCCGAAAAAAAAAAACGGTCCTACGGACCTACTGCTCTGAAACCATGTTAGAATCTAGAAGCAGAAAAAATGAGTGAATTGAATCAGAGTTGGGTACAAGTATCAAACCCTAAAAGGGTTGTACCCCATATTGGCTACCCCACTACAGCCTACACCAATATAGCATGCATATAGTTTGACAAAACTACCCTCGAAAAGCGGGGTGAACTAGGAAAGTAGCTCTAATACCAGGTGTTATGAGTTGTAAAGAAGAGTGCGCAAGTAAACGAATAACGAGACTGTGATTGAACGAACTCTCAATACAATGAAGGCACAGACTAAAATAAGGGCTAGCCTAGTTAGGAGGGAACCTCGGACGAGCGAGGTTGGGTGCAGGTTTGGCGATGGGAAATGCCGAAGGCCAGGCCTTCAGATTCGTTTTGGGCCACCCTTAGTAATCAGGGTTCTAGGTATAGTCAACCCTGATGCTTAGGGTAATTTTTTGGTTTCCCTGACAAATGCAGGGTAAACAAATTGTAAGTCTGTTTGGCCAGGGTATTTATTTTTATGTAAAAGGCCAAACTTGGTAAGGTCAGAAGTTATTGGTCCAGTTGGTTTCGATAAAGAGGTCAGACTGGAAGGTCGCAGGATCGATTCTCGTTGTCGGGAGCGTTTAGCTATAGTGTTTCATCTCGCTACGGACTATTCGGTATTAGTGTTACTGAGTTTGTACACTGTACAGTCAGAGTAATACGTTCCTTACACTGTTTTTCATAGGGTATTTGAAAACTTACACTTTCTGGCCTAGGGTAAAAATGTCGAAAGGCTAGGCCAAAACGAGAAACTGGCAAGAAGAGTTTTGACTAACAAGCATAGGGATACATATATGCAAACCCTAGAAGGGCTGTACTCGCTATAGAGTACCCCACTGCAGGCTAGACAACCATCACATTCTGACACACCCCCATAGTCAAAGTGGGGTACAATCAACACAACAAGCAGGCAGAGCAATAGTTCACAATTATAAGCAAAGCTAGAGGCTATCACAGAGGGCAAGTGAGGAGGAGGAGAAACTGTGGGAGCAAGAAGATGAGAGGCGACGGCTGAAGCTGCAGACACACAGGCAGCAGGAGTACGCCGCACTGTCGCTACCAGGCTAAACCCGGACTACACGGCGACAGGGGGTCGCAGCTGGCTCGCTGTGCTCCCAGGAGTGCACACACTGTAGCTACCGGGCGCAGAGCCCCGGACTACTCAGGCCACAGGGGGTCGTGGCTCCCTGGACTTCAGGCGCTGCGGACGACAAGTCGACGGCCTCCTCTCAACTTCCCCCAGCTGTCCCACCCCCTTTTTACACACCCCCTGCTATTCCCCTAGCACCGCTCACACTACACCCCCTAGCGCCACTCCCTCGGCTCCCACACACCCACCCCCCTCAGCGGCAGCTACAGCAGTGGGAGACGGAGAAGGAGGAGGAGGAGGGGATGGCGCATGCACCCGGCACCCCACACCCGCCACCCCCACATGCGCCACCCCCAAACCCTAATCGTAGGCAGCAGCGGGGGATGGCGCGCGGGCAGCACCGCGGGGGACGGCGCGCGCGGGCAGCATCACGGGGGACGCGCGCGCGGTCCTTAGGGCGGCGCGACAGGGCAGCGGGGGCCGCGCGCGCCTCCCCAGGGCGTCGCGACGGGCAGCGGGGGCCGCGCGCGGCTCCCCAGGGCGTCGCGACGGGCAGCGGGGGCCGCGCGCGGCTCCCCAAGGTGTCGTGACGGGCAGCGCGGCCCGCGCGACCGTCGACAGGGGGCGACGCGCGGGTCGACGGGGCAGAAAACCGCCGCGCGCCCGGGGCGCGCGGCGGGAAGAAAAAAAATCGCTGCGCGCCCGGAGCGCGCGGCAGGCAGGAAACAGCAGGAAACAGCAGGAAACAACAGCGGAAGCTTCTGGTGGGACCACCCACAGGATCGACCCAGGAGGGTCGACCCGCTCTGATACCATGTCGAAAGGCTAGGCCAAAACGAGAAACAGGCAAGAAGAGTTTTGACTAACAAGCATAGGGATACATATATGCAAACCCTAGAAGGGCTGTACTCGCTATAGAGTACCCCACTGCAGGCTAGACAACCATCACATTCTGACAAAAAAATCCACTACCCTGCCTGTGAAAGGGTAACTGAAAAAAAGCGGCCGCCAGTCAGTGCAAAAAGGGCATTTTACCCTGATAACGAGAGGCCTGCCGAAGGCGACGCGAGGAGCCTCGGCAGTGTTGAGATCGGCCGAACGTGCGAAGTCCGAAAATTGGGGCTGTACGCGAAGCAGTCGACCCCGATAAGAAATTCGAGAAAATTCCTTACAGCCGGTACCTGATCAGCCAACCAAACTGCTGTAGATAATCATGGCTCTTGTGATTGCACTATCATTTAATCTAGGACTTGCAATACACCATAACCTTGTCACAGTGAGAAATATACACAACAAATTGTCCTAGTGGGGAATATTCCAGACAAATCACCCTAACACAACAATCCGCAGCTCCCCCTACATGCATTTCTCCTGCCATAGATTTAAAGCCTGCAAATTTCACAATCTAGACTTGGGCCTATTACCACCTTCAAGGTTACCCATTTCCTTCGCCCTCTCCCTCAAAACAAACTTTTGAATCTTGCCCGTCGCGGTCTTGGGCAGCTCCGTAAAAACAACCGTTCTCGGCGCCATATAATGCGGCAGGTGGTCCCGGCAAAACGCAATAATATCCCCCTCGCCCACACGCGCATGCTGCTCCCCCGGCTTGCGGCACACAAAGGCACACACAGACTCCCCCCACATGGTATCAGGGCGCGCCACGACTGCAGCCTCCAACACGGCTGGGTGGCGGTACAGCACTGCCTCCACTGCTATGCTGCTCACATTCTCCCCACCCGATATGATTATGTCCTTGGATCGATCCTGGTTTCAGAAAAGAAAGGAAGCAAGGGTGTGTGCAAGGGAGAGAGAAAGAAGTGAAGTGTATTAGGGAGTTGTGTGCATGGTGCTGGCCTGGTTTGCGGCACACAAAGGTGCAGACTCCCCCCACGTGCTGTTGGGGCGTGCATACCCTATCTAGGAGACGTGGGCATGTCAGGGCGGCACAAAGGCACACACGGACTCCCCCCACGTGGTATCAGGGCGGGCCACCACTGCTGCCTCCAGCACTGTGGGGTGGCGGTACAGCACTGCCTCCGTTGCTATGCTGCTCACATTCTCCCGCCCGATATGATTATGTCCTTGGATCGATCCTCGTGGGGGAGGATGGATGCGATGAGCAAGAGTGGAAATGTGGGGGGATGGGATACTACACAGCCTCTACCACTGTGCTGCTCACGTTTTTCCCGGCCGATATGATGATGTGCTTTGAGCGATCCTAATGGGGGAAGGAAGAATGCAAGCAGGAGATCTGAGAAGCCTCATAAGACCGATATGATTATGCCCTTGCACCGGCCCTGATTGCAGGAAGGAAGGGCACGAGCACGAGAAGTGGAGGGTGGAGGCTGGAGGGTGGAGGGCGGACAGGTATCGAGGTACGCTGGAGGGCGTCGTCGTCTGCTTGTGAAGGTACATTGACCAAGCACTGCACTTGGGTCACGCTGACGTTGAGGTTAAGGTAGCTGAAGAGCGCAGGAGTGAGAAGCAGCGTACCAGCACCGCTGGGAATGGCCGCAACGGTCAGTCTCTGAGGTGCCAGCCTGGCAGCACTGCAAGGGCTGATACAAGAGAGGGATGGCAGTCAGTGGGATGGCAGTCAGTGGGATGGCAGTCAGTGGGATGGCAGTCAGTGGGATGGCAGTCAGTGGGATGGCAGTCAGTGGGATGGCAGTCAGTGGGTTGGCAGTCAGTGGGTTGGCCAGGCGCTCCGGGTGTGAGTTGAAGGCATGCTGGGGGAGAGACAGACGCGGCATGGCATGCCATGGTGCGAGATGAGCCAGTGGGAGCCAGGCATGCTGAAAGGCAAATAGGGCGAATACATTTCAGCCTCACCATCCCACCTCGCACCCCCACCATTCCCCCATCCGTCATCCACCATCCCACCAAGCAACCAACCCAGCATGTCACCACTCCACCTTGATCTCAGCATACCCATCAGAGTGCAGCACTAGTTTTGAGGCGCCTCAAGACTAGACCCCATCGGAGTGCAGCACTGCCAGATCCCCCAAACGGAATCACCCCCCTCGGAACGTCGCCTGTGTGGATTTCACATCTGTGGGTTTCACATCTGTGGATTTCGCAGAATGCTAGCGATATGACTTTTGAGTCGATTCAAAAGTCACCTTATTAAAATGGCACACGACGGATTTCACTGCACCCATGGGAGGGAATGCCAGCGGGATCCTTCTGAGTCGACTGAAATTGCACCTTCCACCCCCACCACCCCCACCACCCCCCCACCACCCCCACCATCCCCACCATCCCCACCACCCCCACCATCCCCACCACCCCCACCATCCCCACCACCCCCACCATCCCCACCACCCCCACCATCCCCACCATCCCCACCACCCCCACCATCCCCACCATCCCCACCATCCCCACCACCCCCACCACCCCCACCACCCCCACCACCCCCACCATCCCCACCATCCCCACCATCGCTGCACCAACCCACCTTGAAATCGAACATACTCATCGGGGGCATGACTGCCAGATCCCCCAACGCAACCACCCGCCCTGGAAGATGACTTGTGAGGCGCCTCCAGAGTCGTGACCTCCCCCCACCACCACTCACCTCACCTTGATCTCAATGCAATGTGGTTCCACTTGGGGTGCAGTGAAAAACAGCCACGTCCCCCGAGTGGTTCCACATTGCAACTTGCAACCCCACCATCCCGCCATGTCCCCTTTCCCCCCCAACTCTCCTCCATCCTCACGAAACCCACCTTGAGTTCAATGTACCCGTCAGGGTGCATGACTGCCAGGTCGCCCGAGTGGAACCACCCCCCTCGAAAAGCCGCCTCTGTAGCCTGTGGGTCATCAGCATACCCCTTCATCACCATGTTGCCTCTCAGCATCACCTCGCCCATGCTGCGCCCGTCTGCTGCCACGTGGCGCATTGTGACTGGGTCCATCACGGCCAGGCCTTCCAGGGCCATGCAGCGCACGCCCTGCCGTTGGGGAGTGGATGGGGGAGAGGGTGGTGGGAGGTATAGGGTGGTGGGAGGAGAGACTGGTGTGAGGAGATAATGGTGGGAGAAGTTGGTGCGCCCCTACCCACTCGAAACCCCCACAACCCATCCCCATCTCACCGCACCTGCCGCGCCTTAAGCCTCGCCCGTTCGCTCTCATCAACCCCTCGCCACGGCTCATGCTGCCACTCTCACACCACAGCCGGCCCATAAGACTCTGTCAGCCCATAAGCATGCATGCAGCACCTCACAACCCATCGCCTCTATCCCCGCCAATGAACCTCTACCTACTCCCCATACACCTTGCACACTTTTAGTCATGCACCTCTACCTAGCCTTCACCCGGCATGGACATCATCATCATCATCATCATCATCACCATCACCACCACCACCACCACCACCACCACCACCACCACCACCACCACCACCACCACCACCACCACCACCACCACCACCACCACCACCACCACCACCACCACCACCACCACCATCATCATCATCATCATCATCATCATCATCATCACCTCACCTGCCTCGCCTTCAGTCTCGCCCGTTCATTTTCATCCACCCCTCTCCACCGCTCGTGCTGCCACTCGCACACCACAGCCGGCCCATACGTCTCCGTGAGCCCATAAGCATGCAGCACGTCGAACCCCATCGCCTCTATCCCCGCCAGCACAGCCGGCGGCGGCGCTGCCCCTGCTGTCATCACGTGCACCCGCCTCGCCTCCTGCCATGCCCTTCCGCTGCCCTCACTACTCCCCTCCCAACTCCCCTCACTATTGCCCTCCCTTCTGGCCTCCATATAGTCATCCCCCCCGCGCCCCTGGGCGCGCTGAGCGGCGAGGAAGGGCAGGCGGAGGGAATCGGGCGCGTTGATTAGGAAGGAGAGCACCACGGGGGCAGCGCACATGTGGGTGACTCGATGACGGGGAATGAGCGAGAATATGCTGGCCGCTGTGACCTGATGGGGGAGGGGATAGGAGGGGAGGGAAGGGCAGGCGGAGGGAGTCGGGGGCGTGGATGAGGAAGGAGAGCACCACGGGGGCGGCGCACATGTGTGTCACTCTGTGGCGGGGGATGAGCGAGAATATGCTGGCTGCTGTGACCTGATGGTGGGGGGGAAGGGGGGGCATGGGTGGGGGAGACGGGGGTGCGTGGATGAAGGAGAGGATGACGGGGGCAGCACACATGTGTGTCTGTGCCGTGGGATGAGCGAGAATATGCTGGCCGCTGTGAGCTGGTAGGGGATGGGAGGGCATGGTTGATAGAGGAGGGACATGACATGGGAGGCTGGCGAGGGCTGGGGGAGTAGGGCGCTTGGATGAGCAAGGAGAGGACGACGGGGGCGGTGCAAATGTGCGTCAAGCGGTGGCGCGGGATGAGCGAGAATATGCTGGGTGCTGCGACCTGAGGGAGGGGTGGGGCACGGACGAGAGATGAGGGCGCGTGGATGAGGAAGGGGAGCAGACGGATGCGGCGCACATGTGCGTCACTCGGTGGCGAGGGATGGGAGAGAATATGCTGGCCGCTGTGACCTGGTGGGGAAGGAGAGGGGCATGGTAGGAGAGATTGAGTGGACTCACAAGTCACCTCACAGATGTGTGTCACATGTGAAGATCCTAGCTGCTGTTGCCTTAGGGAAAGGGGAGAGGAGCCATGGGTGGGGGAGGAGGAGGGTGCGTGGGATGGGAGGGAAGGAGAGCACCATGGATGTGCACAACACGGGTGATGAGAGGAACCATGCTGGCTGCTGTGACCTGGTTGGGAGGGGAGAGGGGGGGACATGAGTGGGAGGCTTCTGAGTCAACTCAAAATTCACCCCACACATGTGTGTCACGTGCAGGCGGGGGATGCTGAGTGTTACGATTCTGGCTGCTGTTACCTGAGGGAGGGGGTTACATGGTTGGGTGGAGGAGGGGGGATGGGAGGTTGTTGAGAATAGACACCGCAGGTTGGAGCACACGGCCTTGTATGGAGAGAAAGGCCATGCGGAAGTGAGGATCTCTCAGAGGAGAGGAGAGGAGAGGAGAGGAGAGGAGAGGAGAGGAGAGGAGAGGAGAGGAGAGGAGAGGAGAGGAGAGGAGAGGAGAGTACACCTCACGTCACATGTCATACCCCACACCCCATGACGCCACACCCCACCTCGCCACACCCCACCTCGCCACACCCCACCTCGCCACGCCACGCACCTCTCTGCAGCACACGTTGGTGCCAGCCACAGCAGCGAGCACCCAGGGGAAGGTCCAGCCGTTGCAGTGGAAGAGAGGCAGCGTCCACAGGTACACGGGGCGCTGCCCGCCTGGCTGCGCGTGCAGGCCCCACGCTAGCACGTTTGCCAGGGCTGATAGGTACGCGCCTCTATGTGTGCACACCACACCCTGCCGGAAGGGGAAGGGAGAAGGGAGGGTGAAGGGAGGAGGAAAAACGCTTTATATGAAGAGAAGCAGCAGCCAGAGGGGGACGGCGGATGGCTGTGTAACTTTTGAGAACCCACGGGGTGCTGGCCGCCTGGCAGTGCGTGCAGCCCCCATGCTAGCACGTTGACCAGCGCTGATAGGTACGCACGCCTATGTGTGCACACCACACCCTGGGGAAAAGGGAAAAGAGTGAGGGAAGTGGAGGAAAGGCTTCAGTAGAGTGGCAGCGTCCACAGGTACACGGGGCGCTGGCCTGCTGGCAGTGCATGCAGGCCCCATGCTAGCACGTTGGCTAGGGCTGATAGGTACGCGCCCCTGTGCGTGCACACCACTCCCTGGGGGAGAGGGGGAGGAGAGGATGCGGCTTTTGAGGTGACTCAAAAAACTCTCTGGGAGATGGGGGAAAGGGGAAAGAGAGTGGGGGCAGGGGAGGATGGGCTTCATCAAGAGCGGCAGCATCCACAGGTATACGGGGCGCTGCCCGCCTGGCTGTGAGTGTAGCCCCCATGCTAGCACGTTGGCCAGAGATGACAGGTATGCGCCCCTGTGCGTGCAAGCAAACCACACCCTGGCGGGGGTGGGGGAGAGTGAGGGAGGGAGGGAAGGAAAAAGATTATCAAGAGTGGCAACGTCACGGGGCGCTGCCCCCCTGGCTGTGCGTGCAGCCCCCATGCTAGCACATTAGCCAGAGCTGATAGGTACGCGCCCCTGTGCGTGCACACCACACCCTAGCAAAGGGGGGAACATGGGGGAGAGAGAGCGGGCGGAGGTGAGGAGAAGGTTCATCAAGAGCGGTAGCGACAAGAGGTACACGGGGTGCTGACCGCCTGGTTGGGCATGCAGCCCCCACGCTAGCACGTTCGCAAAGGCTGATAGGTACGCGCCCCTGTGTGTGCATACCACGCCGCACCCTGGGGGAATGGGGCATGCGGGAGAGAGAGAGTGAGGGGAGAGAGAGTGAGGGGAGAGGAGGAAAAAGGTCAGTTAGAGAAAGAGGCAGCACAAGAGGTACACGGGGCGCTGGCCGCCTGGCTGTGCGTGCAGGCCCCATGCTAGCACATTCACTAGAGCTGATTGGTATGCGCCCCTGTGCGTGCATACCACACCCTGGCGGGGGCGGGGTGATAGAAATGGAGCTTGAATAGACTGATTAGAATAGAAGGCACTAGGCCTTAAGTACAAACAAGGTTGGGTTGAGCAAAGCTAGGGAAAGGATGGGATGGGAATCCTAAGCAAATCTCCAATGGTGAGTTGGCAGATTTGCTGGATTACGGGGGAATCTCAACCGGATAGGGTTGGGATTACAAATCTACACCCAGCCCACAAATAACCTACAGCATATAAAATAGAGTACACAAAGTGTTGACAGCCTATTTCTACCACGGGGGGGAGAGAGTGAGGGAGGAAAGGAAAAAGTTTACCAAGAGCGGTAGCGACCACAGGGACACAGGGCGCTGCCCCCCTGGCTGCGCGTGCAGGCCCCATGCCAGCACGTTGGCCAGGGCTGAAAGGTACGCCCCCCTGTGCGTGCTTACCGGGAAGGTACGCCCCCCTGTGCGTGCTTACCGGGAAGGTACGCCCCCCTGTGCGTGCTTACCGGGAAGGTACGCCCCCCTGTGCGTACTTACCGGGAAGGTACGCCCCCCTGTGCGTGCTTACCGGGAAGGTACGCTCCCCTGTGCGTGCTTACCGGGAAGGTACGCCCCCCTGTGCGTGCTTACCGGGAAGGTACGCCCCCCTGTGCGTGCTTACCGGGAAGGTACGCCCCCCTGTGCGTGCTTACCGGGAAGGTACGCCCCCCTGTGCGTGCTTACCGGGAAGGTACGCCCCCCTGTGCGTGCTTACCGGGAAGGTACGCTCCCCTGTGCGTGCTTACCGGGAAGGTACGCCCCCCTGTGCGTGCTTACCGGGAAGGTACGCCCCCCTGTGCGTGCTTACCGGGAAGGTACGCCCCCCTGTGCGTGCTTACCGGGAAGGTACGCCCCCCTGTGCGTGCTTACCGGGAGAAGCACCTTGGGGAGGGCGGTGGTGCCAGATGTGTAGTTGAGCGCAATATCATCCCACTCGTCCTCCATCACGCCCCTTCTTCCCCCCTGCCCGCCCTCTCCTTCCCCCTCCCACTCGTACCGCTCATCCCCCTCCCGCACTAGCTCCTCATACGTCACCGCTCGCCCCCCTCTCCCCTCCCCTTCTGTACCTTGGGTTGAGCAGTGGTGCCAGACGTGTAGTTGAGCGCAATGGCATCCCACTCGTCCTCCACAACTCCCCTTCTCCTGCCCTCGCCCTGCCCGGCCTCTTCTCCACCCTCCCACACCCACTCGTACCGCTCATCCCCCTCCCCCACCAGCTCTTCATAAGTCACCACTCCCCCACTCTCCCCTCCCCTTCCTCTTCCCCTGACCCCTCCCCCTCCCCCGCCTCTGTTCAGTGACGTGGCCAGGGCTGCCACGTCAGCAGCGCTGCCACCTGGATCGCTCTGATCAGACGGCTCTTCGTCATCTTCGATAATGACAACCTGGAAAGGAAAGGGCGGGCGGTAGTGGAGGGTTGGGTGAAGGCAGGGCAGGGTGCATGCACGAACACGGGGCGATGGGGACGACAAGAAGAGAGCTCTCAGAGAACAGCAGCAACAAGAAGAATTGCGGTGAATGCAGCCACGCACCATAGGTGGGACCGTGGGGGAGATGGGGACGGCAGGTAGAAGAATGGTGGGAACAAGTATAGCCTGCGCCGGCGCCATGCTCGGCCCTGCGATTTCGGGCTGCCCGAAATTTTTTTGACCAGCGTCAAGCGTCAAAACGCGCGTCAAGCGTTTTGCGTCAAAACGCTAGCGTCAAAACGCTTGACGCAACCCCTCCAGAGCGTCAATTCCAACATAGGAGGGCGACAGTGCTGCTTGGGCCATCCCACACCTCACATCTCACCCACACCACACCTCACATCCCACCCACACCACACCTCAACCCCCAACGCCCATGCATCTGTGGCAGAGGTGGTGCTTGGCACATCACACGTCACACCCCACCCCCAAGCACCACCCACCTGTGGCAGGCTTGATTGACGCCCCTTCTCCCGCAATAGTCCCGGCAGCAGCAGCAGGGCATCAGTGAGCAGCGGCGCCAGGGAGCGGTGGGCCATGACCAGCCGGGCAGAGCCGTGGGCGAGGATGAGAGCGACTGTGCGGGCGTCCAGGCGCGTGTTGATGGCGTTGAGCACAGCACCTGCCATGGGCACTCCGAAATGCGCCTCATAAAGAGCAGGTATGTTGGGCGCTAGCACTGACACCTGAGGAGTGAGGCGCAGGGAGGGCGGAGGTGGGGGGACGAGGATGAGGGCGACGGTGCGGGCGTCAAGCCGCGTGTTGATGGCGTTGAGAACGGCTCCCGCCATGGGCGCGCCGAAATGTGCTTCATACAGAACAGGAAGGTTAAATGCCAGCACTGACAACTGGGGGGGAAAGGGGAGAGAGGGAGGGGGGAACTGGGAGGATGGATGAGAGCGAGAGTCCGCGCGTCCAGACGCGTGTTGATGGCGTTGAGAACGCCCCCCGCCATGGGCACTCCGAAATGTGCCTCATAGAGCGCTGGTAGTACGTTAGGCGCTAGCACTGACACCTGTGAGGGTTAGACCAGTTGTGTGGTGCCATGTGGCGTCCAGACGCGTGTTGATAGCGTTGAGAACAGCTCCCGCTATGGGCACGCCGAAATGTGCTTCATAGAGCGCAGGAACGTTAAATGCCAGCACTGAAACCTGGGGCGGGAACGTGGGAGGACGGGGGGGGAGGGCAAGGGCGAGGATGGGGGCGGCGGTGCCGCCATCTAGACGTGTGATGACGGTGCTCAGCACGGCCCCTGCCATGGGCACTCCGAAGTGTGCCTCATAGAGAGCAGGAACGTTAGGTGCCAGCAAAGCAGCACTGCCACCTGTGGGGTACGGCGCAGGGGGAGAAGGGGAGGGCGAGGATGAGGGCGACGGTGCGCGTGTGTTGATGGTGATGAGCACGGCGCCCCCCATGGGCACGCCCAAGTGTGGTTCATACAGTGCTGATATGTTAGGTGCCAGCACTGCCACCTGGGGCGCTGGGGGACGGAATTGGAGCGGGGGCTGGAGCAGGGAACTGGGCGGATGAGGGCGAGGCGACTGTGCGGGCGTCTAGACGTGTTGTGGCGTTCAGCACCGCCTTCCCCCCCCCCCTCCCCCCCCCATGGGGACTCCGAAATGAAGCTTCGTAAAGCGCTGGCAGGCACGTTGGGGGCTAGCACTGCCATGCCACCTGGGAGGAGTAGGAAATGCAGGGAGGAGGGGAGCTCAGTGATCCGTGAAACGGCTGAAAGATTGACGGCGTTCAGCACAGCACAGCACCTGCCATGGGCACACCAAAGTGTGCTTCGTAGAGCGCTGGTACGTTGGGAGCCAGCCAGCACTGCCACCTGGGGTTGACGGAAATAGTGTGGTGACATGGAGCGTCTAGGTGCGTGTTCATGGCGTTCAGCATAGCCCCCGCCATGGGGACGGCAAACTGTGCTTCATAAAGCGCTGGTACGTTGGGAGCGCGGATTGGGAAGGGGAGGCGCGTGGGTGCGCGGATTGAGAAGAGAAAGCAAATGGACTGCGGATTTGGACGGAAAAGCGCGGACACGGCCCTTGGATCTGCGCGGTGCCACAGTCACGCGGCGCCAGTCACGCGGCGCCAATCACGCGGCGCCCAGGTACGAGGCGCCAGCCACGAGGCGCCAGTCACGCGGCGCCGGTACGAGGCGCCAGCCACGAAGCGCCAGTCACGAGGCGCCAGCCACGAGGCGCCAGCCACGAGGCGCCAGTCACGCGGCGCCAGTCACGAGGCGCCAGTCACGTTCGGCACAACACATCCAAGGATAGAGTAGTAACCCCGCATGGGTTGCCGCTTCCCCGAACCAACGTAGAAAACACGAACCAGACTCAACCGACAGACAGACGGACGGGCTGAGAGACAGACGGATGGACGGACGGACCGTGTCGTTCTTCCCGATGCCGCGGCGGCGCAGCGCGGATGCGAGTTTGCAGCAGCGGTGGTACGTCTGGCGCCACGTCCACGATTGGTCGCCGTACACCACGGCGCATCGGTCGCCGTGCACGTCGGCGGCGCGACGGATGAAAGTCAACGGAGTCAACGGCGCGTAATTCGCCGCGTTTCGAGGAAGCGCGTCGTTATCGAAAGGACTCGTCATGGTTGCTCCGGAGAAAAAAAAAAAAAATCACGCGCGAACAACGCCCGAATAACGTCCGAATAACGCGCGAAAAACGCCCGTATAACATAAAAATAACGCGCGGATTTCGGTAGTGCCTCGGTATGCTCTCTGCGAGCGCGCAAATTCTGGACGAGCAAGCACGAGCTAGGAATTCGCGAGGTCGCGCGGAGAACGGCGAAGGGCACCACGGACACGACTGGCTAGAGGGAAAAGGGAGAGGAGGAAGGAAGAAACTCTTCGGACAACTGACTGGCTGACTGGCTGGCTGATGTGGAAAGCGGGGTGAGTGACGTGGTACGATTGATAGGGACCTGGGTTGGATGGATAATACATTTCGCAACCGTGCTCCGCACGCAACCGTGCTCCGCCCGTATTTACTTTAGGAACTCAGTAATTTGAACTCATTTTGCTTGGACGAGGGGTGAATTGAATACCTCTATTTCCCTTAGCCGCTCCAAACATACTTGCCTTTTAGGATCCTCGTTTAGGACTCAGTCGGTTTCGGGTACTGCTATGGTTTAGGAACCTCTAGCAAACTCGCTAGGATTCGCAGTAGTCTACTTCGAGATTTGACGCGAAACCTCTGCACCGGTAAGCTAGGATGACGCGACCACGCCAGGGACATTCGCGCCGTCCAGCTTATCTAGGCTCAATCGAACCCCCAACAACGTATCGCAATCCATCTGCATACGCCCCTGCACCCATGGATCCGCGAAACTTACCGCGTTCTAGTGCCGAGGAACAGGTTGCCATATCCGCTTTGAACCACAACCGCGTAGCTATCGGCACAGGGTATGCTTGGGGAATGACCGAGCACCTAGCCCCTTCCCCATCCCAGCCCGCTCCAGCTCGTATACCATTCACGCCCGTTTTCTCGTGGGGTGCGAACGATTCGCGTCTGAATCATGACTCGCCGAATCCCGAAAGCGCCAACCTCGAAGCAAACAACCCGCGAAATGTACAACACGGGCATGCGGCTGGACCTTCGGGGGTACCACACGCATCCGCAAACGGAACTTTCGTGGGTCAGAACGTGCCTGGTATGCCGCCATCACAGCATTTCTCGTTCGAAAGGTACCAGGATGTAGGTTTTCGCTCCACGATTTTCACCCGCACCACTGATCCCTCACCTTCCCAAGCTTTTCGAGGCCGCCTCGTTCAGCCCACCACCGCAAACGTAATGCCGCCACAGCCCACGGAAACACCTGTGCATATCTCGCCTAACCCGCAAGCTACGTTTGCGAGTCAGCCATTGCACGCAGCTGGATGTGGTGGAATCGCGGAACAGCAAGTTGTCCCTGAGCCGGAAGAAACCACTCCGATAGACCCGAGCCAAATTATCAGGATCGATCCCGAAGAAGTACCGCTCGCACCACCGGAGAGTTTCGTCCAGCCCGAACCGGGACCGGGAGGAACAACCGTTCGTCACCAATCCAACGTTATCACACCCCACAGCATTCCCGAAACACGAGAGGACGCGGCTGAGGTGGAGGCCATGTTCAACCGTGTGGAGACAGGGGCTGATGAAGCAGTGGAAGGCCCGCCAATTTCGGCTTGGGAGAGGATGCCAGCTGCTAACAACCTCGCCTCGAAAATGTTTTTCGTCATGCAAATCTGGATGCTGTTGGCGGAATCAACAAGGCTAAAATACAGGGCTGCTATCAAGGAGTTCAAAAGGTGGTTCGCCTGGGAAGCGCCGCGAATGCCACCGGGAAACTACCCAGAGCCACGATCAGGTTCAGCCACGCGGCCACGATCAGCTCGATGTTCAGGTCCGGTGCTCCAGCCTTCTCTGCAGAGCGTTTCGCTTCCTTGTCAGCGAAGCCGCGATCACGGCCCTTGGAGACAAGCCACAAGTACGTGACCGTAAACGCCACGGCACCGGCAAGAGCACCCTCTGGAACCTTCGATTTCGCGTAAGGCTCGTCCGCTTCCACCTCGAGGCCTTGTCAAACTATATATGCATGTTAGTTTTATCTAGGCTGTAGTGGGGTAGCACTAGGGGGTACAGAAATTCTCTCGACATTCTCTCTTGTACCCCCCCTTGACCTAATCGAACCACTTCTTCCTAGTCTAAGATTCTAAGATGGTATCAGAGCTTTAGGTCTTAGGACCTAAGACTTGGGCCCACCGGTTACAGTGTTACCCCACCTACTCCTTCTTAGCCTTGCCTGCTACCCGCGCGCGCCTCGGCTGAGCCCGCGCATAGCCTTTTTTTTTAGCGCGCGCGCTACTACTGCCACCCGCGTCCCGCTCTCCTAGACGCCCGCGCAGCCCGCCCTGAGCCCGCGCAGCCCGCCCTGAGCCCGCGCAGCCCGCCCTGAGCCTGCGCAGCCCGCACGCGGCCTGCTGCTGCCCCGCGCACCGCCCGCGCAGCCCGCGTCGAGCCCGCGCAGCCCGCGCCGAGCTCGCGCAGCCCACGCGCAGCCTGCAGAGTTCGCGCGTGGCTCGCGCACTGCCCGAGCAGCCCGCGCCGCGCTGTTCTATCCCGCGCGCAGCTCGCAGCCGCGCGTGCCCTGCCCTGCCTGTGCCCTGCCTTGAGCGCCTGCCTGCCTTAAGACCTGCCTTACCCTCAAGACTTTTGCCTGCTGCTTGAGCCTGCTGCCTGAGCTAGCCTGCTGCCTGCTGCCTGAGCTTGCCTGCTGCCTGCACCTGAGCCTGAGCCTGAGCCTGTGCCTGCTGCATTTACCCGCCCTGTGACCATGGCAACCATTTCTGTTCTCGAGTTTGAGCCTGACGGTAGTCCTGTTCAGTTTGACACCTGGCTCAGTGACCTGCAGCTTTACCTTTTGACCAATACCAAGGACGGAGCCTCCCTGCTAGACTATGTCAATGGCACTGCCCCTGCTCCCGCTGCTACTGCTCCCGCCTCTGACCGCGCTGAATGGCAGACCCGTGATGCCCTTGCCTGCCTAGCTATTCGCAACCACTTGCCTATCTCCGAGAGCGCACACTTCAACCAGCTTAAGACTGCTAAGGACCTGTTTGACGCTGTAGTTGCCCGCTATTCCGCCCCAGCCACTGCCGCCGTTGGTAGCCTCATCCTACCCTACCTTTTCCCCGACCTCGCCTCGTTTTCCTCTGCTGCAGACCTCATCTCTCACCTCCGCGCTAGTGATGCTCGCTTTCGTGCCGCTCTCTCTGACGAGTTCCTCGCCGAGAACAAACCCCCCCTGTACTTTACCCTCTACATCCTAGTCACCCGCCTTCCCGACACGCTCCGTTCCGTTAGGGACTATTTCCTCGCTAAAGATCCTCCCACCATCACCCTAGATGACTTCGAGCAGCAGCTAGTTGCAGCTGAGAAGAACATACTTGCTGTGAATGCTGCTCGTGGCACTCCCCGCACTCCCCTCTTTGAGGGTTGCTCCCCCTCCCCTCTTACCCCCTCCTATGCCTCTGCTGCTGCTGCTGTTGACCTTCTCGGCGCTGAGAAGGTCCACGCCGCTTCTACTCTTGGTGGGAAGCGCGGCGGAGGCAAGGGGGACAAAGGGGGCAGGGGTGGCGGAGGTGGCGGCGGTGGGGGCGGTGGAGGAGGTGGCGGGGGTGGCGGAGGTGGTGGGGGTGGCCGTGGGGGTGGGGGTGGTGGGTGGGGTGGTGGCAGGACCGGGGGCGGTGGTGGCGGCAGCGGAGGTGGTGGGGGAGGAGGCAGCGGCACTGGTGGTGGAGGTGGGGGTGGGGGTGGATATGGCCAGAAGGGTGGCGCTGGTGGCGGCCAGCAGCAGCAGCACCCGCAGCAGCAGCAGCAGCAGCAGCAACAGCAGCAGCAGCAGCGTCCGCCTCCCACCTCCCAGCAGCTCCATGACTGGTATGCTGGGCGTGGGGCGTCTAGGGGCTCTGACCGCTGCCCCTATGTCATTCGCACAGGTCCCCGCCAGGGTCGCACCTGCGACGGTTTTCACACCGAGTTCCGCTAGGCTTAGTGACGCCTGGCGCGCAAAGTATCCTGATGCTACTGAGTTCCCCAACTGGGCAGATCTGCTTAGGCGTGGTGTTCCTATCTTTGATCTAGACTATGATGCTATTCTTGCTGCTATGTATGCATTGACTGTTAGTGCTGAGGGTGACTGTTACTTGTGTGTGCCGCCTGACCCAGGTATAGAGACTGCAGCCCTAGGTGCTAGTGCGTCTGTGCTCCCTGGTACTTCGTCCGCTCAGGCTTTGCACACGTTCACACTTGACTCTGGTGCTTCGCGCTGTTTCTTTCGCGACAGCACCACTGTCACCCCTCTCCCTGCACCTGTTCCTGTCTCACTGGCTGACCCCTCTGGGGGTCCAGTGCTTGCACGGGCCGCGACTGTGCTTCCGTGCCCAGCGGTCCCGTCTGGTGAGCTGTCTGGTCTCCATGTTCCCTCGTTCTCTACGAACCTGGTGAGCAACGCCGTCCTTCAGGATCACTGGGTTGACACCTGGACTCCTGGAGGACAGCGTGTGGCAATCTGTACATGCTCCAAGACCGGCCGCCACCTGGCCACGTTCACACGTGAGCCAGGGTCGAGTCTGTACACCCTCACTACTGTTTCACGCTCCACTCCTATGTCTCCACAGCTGTACGCGTCTGCTCAGGTTGCTACCCAGTGTGAGTGCCGCCGCCTGTCCCACGACACTCTCCTGTGGCACCACCGCCTTGGTCACCCCTCCCTGCCTCGCCTTCGTAGCATGCACTCTCGTTGCCTAGTCTCTGGCCTTCCCAGGTCTCTCCCTGCCCTCCCTCCCTCGCCTGCGCCGCCCTGCATTCCCTGCGTCGAGGGGCGGCAGCGCGCCGCTCCTCACTCCTCCTCGTTTCCTCCCACAGAGGCTCCACTGCAGACTCTCCACCTGGACGTGTGGGGCCCGGCCCGCGTCCAGGGACAGGGCCGTGAGCGGTACTTCCTGCTGGTAGTTGACGACTACACGCGCTACACCACGGTCTTCCCCTTGCGCAGCAAGGGGGACGTCCCTGCTGTTTTGATCCCCTTGATCCGCGCTGCTCGTCTCCAGCTCCGCGAGCTGTTCCAGTCGGACTTTCCTGTCTTGCGTCTGCACTCTGATAGAGGTGGTGAGTTCTCCTCCGACCTCCTGCGAGCCTTCTGTGCGGAGCACGGCATCACCCAGTCGTTCACGCTTCCGGCCTCTCCACAGCAGAATGGGGTTGCTGAGCGCCGCATTGGCTTAGTCATGGAGGTCGCTCGTACCTCCATGATCCATGCGGCGGCTCCGCCTATGGGGGTGTGTCAAACTATATATGCATGTTAGTTTTATCTAGGCTGTAGTGGGGTAGCACTAGGGGGTACAGAAATTCTCTCGACATTCTCTCTTGTACCCCCCCCTTGACCTAATCGAACCACTTCTTCCTAGTCTAAGATTCTAAGAGGCCTAGCGCAACCGAGGCCGCGACCTCGTCAAGCAGGTCGTCCGGTCCATCAGCTGTTTTCCTGAAACGCGCAAACATGGTTCTCATCCTGCATTGGGCACAAGCAGCGAACGGAAAATAAGCCACGAAAACAATTGCGCAACTCACTCCGCGAAAAAAAGATCGACACTCAAAAGCATTGTTTCAAAATCAGATCGCGCAAGCGAAAGCTAGAAACTCGATAACGCAAAACTGCAAAGCAAAGTATAAAACAGCGCCACATACCTTTTGCCCCCGGTACAAATGCCGCGAAGAAACATTTCCGCGAACACCCCCGGATGCAAAAGTCGTGCAACATCCAGATCCGCGGTCCTCTTCTCCTCTTCCGCCTCCGATAAAACCATCTTGTCGCTCGGAACCCTCTTGTGCCACACGGTCTGTACAGCCGCGGCCGTATATCGCGCGTTTGCTAAAGCGGAGAAACTGCCGAAGTACCAGCGCAAGTTCTGGTGGTGCAATTCCAGCGTCCACGTAGTTCCTTTCGCGTTAACCCGAATTCCAACTCTGAGCTCGTTTTCCTTCGCGGGTCCCTTTTCCTTCGCGGGTCCCTTTTCCTTCGCGGGTACCTTTGCAGTCCCCTTACCACCCTTTAGTTTTGCCATGAACGCCAGGGTGGCCTTCGTGGCCTCGGTCTCGTCAGGATCTGTGCCGCCCGCTCCCACAAGAAGCGGCAAGACCAGTGTCCCGCCTGTGCCTGCACCAGCAGAATGACCTCCTGCGCTGCCAGCCGCGAACTGTGACGGCCCGTGCGGAACTTCGCCACCCGCATTTCCGGTCGCGGGTTGACGGATGATGTTCACCGGGTCGGAGTTCGATTTTGCCCTTTTCAGGAGGGGTGTGGCTGCCAGAGGAGCAGGAAGGACCGCGCTGCGTTTCCCGCTTTTTTCTTCTACTGCTGCTTCGCCGGATTCCATACCCGGGCGCCGCCCTTGGCCAGGATCCCGCACACCATATCCAGCACTTTCGCCCGCGATTGCCAATCCTGTATCTCCAGCCCGAACGTTTGTAAGAAAATCCATCCCTGCTGCTCCCGCCGAAAAAGGGCCGCGTTGCAAAACCTGCGATATCAGGGCAGAAGCCGCTTCCGCCAGCTTCGCTATGGCACGCTCCGACGACTCGCGCTGCGCTGTCGCTGATGCGCGTTCCGTCCGAACCTCGTGGACAGCATCCGCTAGATCCTTGCCAGCACGTCTCTCCATGTCTTCCAACCTCCTAAGAGGCAGACCTGTCAGTCACACGAGACAACGCGGCGCGATGCTCCCCCATCCTCGTCAGAAGTTCGCGGATTTTCTTGCGCTGCACGAAGTTGTCGTGTCGCGCATCAGCTAGGTCCTGCCTCGAATTCTCGAGCGCGAAGTCCAGACGAACTACTTCGTGAGCGAGTGTAAGTGCAGGCCACGATGACAACTCGTCCACGGTCCGCCTTTGCGCGATCGCACGCTCTGACCGGCGCGCAAGCCGTGTCTGCCCCTCGAATCCGCGCTTCCCAGCGGCGCGAAACTGTGGAGCCTGACGAGGATCGTGAACCGGTGCCCCAATTTTCGTGCTGCCTCCCGCAATCCTGTGGCGTTCACCACGATCAGCTCCCTCGGCCTCCTCTCCGTCCTCGCCTTCGCCCTCCCCCTCGCGCTCACCGTCCCTACCGCCCTCACCCTCCCCATACCCACCACCGTGGCCCTCCCCGTACCCACCCCCCTCGCCCTCCCACTCCTCTTCGTCATCCTCCTCGTATTCGCCCTCGTTTTCGCCCTCCTCCCCATACCAACCCTCGCCCTCACCTTCGCCCTCGCCTTCGCCCTCGTCCTCGCTTTCCTCCTCGCCCTCGCCCTTGGCCGCGCCATAATACTTGCCCTCCTCCTCACCCTCGGCCTCGCCTATGCCCTCGCCCTTGTTCGCGCCCTCGCCCTTTTTCGCGCCCTCGCACACATTCGCGCCATCGCCCTCCTTCGCGCCCTCGCCCTTTTTCGCGACCTCACCCTCGCCTTTGCTCGTGTCCGCGACGGCACCCTGAACTCCCGCTCGCTTCTGTGCAACCTCCGCTGCACCACCGTGGCTGCGGGTTCCGACTGCTTCGTTGTACCGCGTGTCAATGGCGATGTCCTGGGCATGCCTCAAAATCTTATCGTGCAAAGGCTTTAAAGCCTTTACGGACGCTGCACGGACAGCTTCGCCTGGAGATTTCACAATAGCCTCGAATTCCGAAAGGATGCGCGAAAATCCGTATACAGCTTGTAATCCGAAAACTGCCTTCACCCTGTCCAATGCGCTCAGGTCCTGCACGCGACCGTCGTATACACGGGCAAGAATTAGAATGCACACCTAGTCATTCGTGTTCGGAACATATGATGCGCGAAATTACCATGGTCTCGCGCTTCAGCTTTTGCACGCGCTCACGCGCAAATACAAGGCTGGGCTCGTCGTCGGTGTCTTCGAATTTCTCAACGCGGCTCTTGAACCAACTACGTGCCACAACCACAATTCCAGAGTTAGCACGCGAAAATAAGCCTGACTTTAGAGTTGCCACGAAACCGCGACACTTACTCGATTACTTTTGTGGCCTGCTCTCGTTGCGGGTCCGGGCCGTAACACGGGTCGATGTGGATAATGCGCGTGTTGGACGGCTCGTCCCTCTCGTATTGCAGCTGATTAGGCTGCAGGATAACGAGGACGCTGCAAACCGTCGTTCCGTTTTCGGGCCTGCACAACGCTCGCATATTCGGAGTCAGGAGGAGGCACGAACATCTATTTCACACAACTAGAGAGGCCAATACTTACTTCGCCCACATCGGGAAAACAACGAGATCCTTGTTCAACATGTCCGCGATCTCCGCGTTCGGGTCCATGGTCTGTTTCGTGCAGTCCGAAAGCCACAAACTGCCCTGCTCCGACGATGTGACAATTCGTGTCGTCTCTTTGCGGTCGCCGCCGTGTTTTGCCAACACGAAGCTGCAGGATGCACACCCATGAACAACCATTAGCAACGCGAACAGTCTATACGCCTCGCATATCAGCGTGATTGATCATCGAGGTGGAAACATTAGGTCACCCGCAAACACGTACAGGCATGCGAAATCCAGTGCGGCGGGGGTGTACTCGATGCTCTCATTCAGAATAGCCTCCTTGTCTTTTTCCATCAGCACGACGGACGCACCGCCCGCTTCCATGGCGACGTCCACTTTGTTGAAGCTCTCGATGCGGTCGTAAAGCGCGCGCCTCTCACGTAACATCCTACGTCAAACGCGAAACAACAAACGCGGAAACGCCACAGTTGCGATTGCCAAGATAGCATCACGAAAAAGTTGCTTTTCCATGTGACGCTCTGACGCACCCTCAACATAAACCGCGAAAACTCTCGTAAAACGCAACAACTCAAATTCGCCGGACACAAACCTACGTCGACGCGCGATCTTAAACGATACAATGTAGACGCGGAAATTATCGCGCTGTTTCTGTGTGTGTCGGTTTCGCGATATCTAAGGCACTCTAAACACACCAACAAGAACAGCGGAAGCCTCGAAAACACCAGCACGTAAGCAACAGCGACAATTCCACCACCACCCTCCCCAACTACCACCCGTCCTCGACCCTCCCTGCCACCCCTACTCCCGAGTCCCCAAATCTCCCCGTCCTTGACCCCGTCCCATTTCTCACCTGAAATAAGGCTTGCGTGAAGGGAAGGAGAGCTGAGAATAAAAAATCCGATTGCGCATGCACAAATGGAAAATGACGGCCACCAACGCCATATAACCGCTTCCACGAGCACCATCCAAAGTGAAACGCCGTAGGTTCGGGCCCACGCGAACCAATGGTTTCGGGGCGGAACTGTCCCCGAAGCGTGGACAAGGCTCGGTTTGGTCTCGCGTCCTCGCAGCAGAGCGCACCGTTTAATTTGTGCATCTCGAGTTCACATGTTCGTATACATGTTTTGGTTTTGTTCTGGTTGTGCTCATGCTCGTGTGATCTTTCGTATAAGGTTTCACAAAAGTCGGTGACTCGATATGAGCATCCATCCGTAACAAGTTCGTCGCACGCGCGCCGGACGACGATTCACGCAATTTCGCAGAGGGCTCGGGCGACGGCAACCCACCCGAGCCCGTGCTGAGTCAGCCGAGCTGGCTGGGCCAGCCGGTCGAGTCAGGTGGTCCCCACGGAGGTGCGTCACTCGAGTGGGTGGTGCGTCATCGGTGGTCCCGGGAGGGCAGTCGGGGCCCCGGCGTCCCGGGCACGGGCCGAAGAGTCGGCCCTCCGAAATCACGCTAAGGGGTCGGCCGCGTGCCCCAGCGCCAGGCTGGGCCGCCTTCGCGTGCTGGGGGTCCGACAACCGAAGGCGTGGAGGTCCTTCGAGCCCCGGGCTTCGGAAGGAGGGGGACTTCTTCGGCCCGATGAGAGTGTTCGTTATTATTGGTTCAGAACCACTGCAACTTGCGCGACGTGCTTGTAACGTGGGTGCAACTGGCAAGGGCAAAAAACACGGGTGCAGCGTTTCCATCTGGTGCAGGGAAAATTCGCGTGCAGGGGTTGAGCATCATGTGTATCGCGTAGAAGGTGATATACACTTCATGCTCGTTTGAGTCTCCCAAGGTTGCCTTGTGAAGAGGACTTAAAGCGATTCTTGGCATTTCACAAGCTTCGTCAACGTCGCAGCAAGCAAATAAAGGGCTTATAAATTTCTCAACAGTTACACGTTGACAGTTGATGTCGGTCTCTTTGTTGCCATTGGTTCATCGTCATTGCATTGATTGTTGGAGTAGGCTAGAGCTCGCTCTGGCCTTTATTTTGGTGTTCTTATATTGTTATTTCTATGGGCTTAGAGCGAGTTACGCACTCAGGTTCATTTTAGGTTCATTTCATAATTGTTAGAACAAACCGAACACACCCTAGGTTCAATTAGGGTTTCCAACCCTCTCTCTTTTGTATCTCGATATTCTCCTCCTAGTTCAACTTCTTCAACCTCACCAAAGCCTCTCGCCATCCATGGCTTTCCTTACTTTAACATTGATAGTTGTCGACGGTCATTATTCATTACCATTGGTTCATCATCACTGCAACTTGCTCGAGGGGCTTATAAACTGGGTGCAATTGCCCGGCCCCAAAAACACGCGTGCAGACTTTCTGGCATGCGCAAGGCAAATTCGCGCGCAGCGGCTGAGCAACATATGTACACGTGCAATAATCAAATTCGGGCTTAACAACAGCAGAGAAGTGGCCAAAGTAGGGCGAGTGTGTAGCACGGTGTCGAGCCTGAACCTCACCTAGCCCTAGCCGAATTATGGGCTCAGGGTGCGTTCCTAGCTCGTGTCAAGCTTCGGGCCTTCCCAGGAATACCCGAAGCTTTAGGTTAAACTTCCTGTCAAACTTTATGTTTTCCGGAAACAGGGGCGATTTCTTGCCGGAAGACCCGAAGTTGGTATCAGAAGCTTGACACGAACCAGGAATGCGCCCTCAGCCAAGCTCTTCCTCAGATTGACCACAAAATGTGACAATAGGAAGGGCAGCAGCTTTTCATCAACTCTTCTATTTACCCTTGACATTGAACTGTCAGAATCACTAGCAAGAATGATTGAAAGGAGAGGGGGCTTTCACTAGCAGCAGTTGGGGTACATATAGCAAACCCTAACTGGGTTGTACTCGCTATAGAGCACCCCACTACAGGCTAGACAATAATAACATTCTGACACACCCCCATAGCCAAAGTGGGGTGTAATCAGTACAATGAGCAGGCATAGCAATAGTTCACAATTATAAGCAAAGCTAGAGGTGATCATAGAGGGCAAGTGAGGAGGAGGAGAAACTGTGAGGGCGAGAAGATGAAAGGCGCCGACTGAAGCTACAGACACACGGGCAACAGGAGCGGCGCGCACAGTGGCTACCGAGCGCACGAGGGCACCGGACTACGGGAGTATCTGGCTCCGCGGCTACGACGAGCACACACAGGAGCAACGGACCCACAGGCGACTGGCGAAGCAGGCTCGCTGGGCTACCGAAACGCGCGAGGGCATCCGGACTACTGGCGCTGCTGGCGTCACGACGGCTACCTCCACGCAACCTCCCCCGACCGTCCCACGCCCCTCTCACACACCCCCTGCTGACACCCTAGCTCCACTTCCACGGCACCCCCCTTAAACCCTAAACCCTCGGCTCCCACACACCCACCCCCCTCAGCGGCAGCTGCAGCAGTGGGAGACGGAGGAGGAGGAGGAACAGGGAACGGCACTCAGAGGCTTCACCCCCATACCCCTCACCCCCAAACCCTAATTCAGGAGAACGGGCTGTAGGAGGGGTGGGGCGCCAGTAGAAGCACGGGGGACAGTGGGGAGGGCAGGGGCAGCGAGGAACGGGCCGCCCACGGGCCTGGCATAGCCGCCCGAACCGCGCGCAGGCGGCCCGAGCCGCACGCGGGCCTGGCGCTTCCCGTACGGGCCGCGCGCGGGCCTGGCGCAGCCCGTACGTGCCGCACGCCGGCTGTACGGGCCGCGCGCAGGCCACGACGGGCGACGGGGGGCGACGCGTGGGACCCCGTCGCCCGTCGCAGTGCCTCCCGGGGGCGACGCGCCGAGTGACGGGGCAGAAACCCGCCACGCGCCTCGGGGCGCACGGCGGGCAGAGAACCGCCGCGCGCCTCGGGGCGCACGGCGGGCAGAAAACCGCCGCGCGCCTCGGGGCGCACGGCGGGCTGAAAACCCTAAGTCAACGCCGCGCACCACGGGGCGCGCGGCGGACAGGGAGTAGCAGTAGCAGCGGAAGCAGTTAGGTGGCGGGCCCACCCACAGGATCGACCCAAGGGGGTCGACCTGCTCTGATAGCATGTCAGAAGAACTAGGCAAGAATGGTTGAAAGGAGGGGGGGCTTTCGCTAGCAGCAGTTGGGGTACATATAGCAAACCCTAACTGGGTTGTACTCGCTATAGAGCACCCCACTACAGGCTAGACAATAATAACATTCTGACATGAACAGACGATTAGAACTGTTAGATTTAGACACCTTGTAATTGAAGACAAGTCTGAAAATAACAATGTTGCCAAAATACTAAAACCCATTCGGACGTTATGTCATTCCAGAAGCGTAAACCCTAAACACTATGTCGCATGGTGTTTAGGGTTGATGCCTTCTCGATGAAATTTTGTACTAAAGGGTTATATTTTGTTTTCGTCATCGTGACACTTGTTTTCAAGCAATAATCTCACTTCAAGTGCAATAACCTCGAAACAAATGTGTTTATTTACAGTGTTGGCAAAACCTGTCAACATAAAATTTTTAGGTGTAATGTGATACGTAGGCTTGGCTCGTGCTATCTGGTTAGGTGCGTGTGCAACTTCGGACATGCGAGCTAGGAGTGCGACACGCCCAGCCCTACTTTGGCCATTTCTCTGCTATTGTTCGGCACATATTTGATCTTTGCCCAATATACACCCTCTTTCTCGCTATAGTGGATTCCGGTAAAGTGGAGTCAAGATGGGAAAAGCACATTTCAAGATGGTTATATCATGTTACGGTATGGTTCAATTAGGCAATTTGAATCAAACAAAGTCCGGCAGCCAGTTCCGCATGGTTGAGTGTAGAGAGAAACAGGGCGTATGACGAGAAGTTGAGCTCAACTTTGTAATTTAAAAATAACTACAAGGAGTTGTTTCATGCGTACAATTTGAACTTGGCCCGCTCCATCCATTGGTCGTTTTCATGAATTTTTGCAAAAACTGCGGAGAATAGGCGATTATGAGAGAGCCTAGGCGTAGAGTTGCACGATCGGAGAGTGAAGTGCGAGTTTGCGTATACAGACTTGCTTGAAGCCGGATACTGGCATTCGGAGAATAGTATGTTTGGTATCCAGTAACGAAAGGAAAGTAATTGATTAATTGATATAATTACAACAGAAACAACATGAACCTTACAGGAAACATAGTGTAAGGGATTGTCATTCCTTACTGTACTCGCATTTTAGCGAGTACAACCCGAAGGCCACGCGTCAGCCCTGTTCGGCCTACAATTCCACCCTGAACCACGCCCGAGTCGCCACCGCTCCAATCGCAACATTTTCAGAGCCATCCTAGCCGGACCTCTTCGCCTAGCTAAGATTCCCCCTATAAATTTCCGTCATTTTCCTTGTATCGTCATTCGGTAGTCAACATTCTCGATATTCGTTTTACTGCGCATTCTGCAGGTTCATTCATAACACCTGGTATCAGAGCTACTTTCCTAGCCTACCCCGCTTTTTAGAGTGTAATACCCC